TAAACCAGAGAACGATCAGCAGATGTGTTTGGAGATGATTTAATTGGTGTTGGTCCTGCTTTGAGCAAGGGGGTTGGACTAGATAACATCCAGAGGTCCCTTCCAACCCTGATATTCTACGATTCTAAGTCACAATGGGGTCAACTCTTCCCAGGGGTGCGACTTGGAACCATCTCACTAAGACCAACCTTCCCAGCAGTGCCCACTGATTATATATATATTTAACTTTTCATTAAGGCAAAGTTACCACCCGCACCTCCGAGCACGCTAGAGAGAAGAGAACGACCACATTTCTAAAAAGCTGGCCCCTTCGTGGCACCACTCTGGCCGAGATAGGTGGCGTGAAAGTTTCTCCCAGGCTAGGCCGCGCGTTACTGCCCCACGCCTGCAGCCGAGGCCCGGGCCATGGGCAATGCAGAGTCCTGCTGATCACACACCATCCTCCACGGGCGCTGCGCCACCTGTCGGAGGTGCGGGGCCAGCCTGGGCACATGGTCAACAAGTCCCAGGAGCGGGCGGCGAGGCCCGTACCACCCTCAGGCAAACCCAGGCCAGCTAGGCCCACTCACTGCCGGGCCTATGGGTAACTCGGAGGGGGTCCGGGTTACCGAGGAAACAGACAACTACCACCTGTGTCACGTGGGAGACATTGGGCGGAGCCAAGCGCTGACTGGCTGCTGTCACGAGATTAGGCTGTGGGGGCGGGGTAGGGAGGAAATTTGCGCCTTTCCCGGCACCAGTGTATCCCAGAATGCACCGCCCTGCCTGTGGCTAAAACCGGGGCCAGGCGGCTAACGGAGCACGGTAGATTACGCAGGCGCAGTATGAGCAGCAAACTGGGAGGGGGCGGAGGTGTTGGATAAACCGTCTCAAAATGAGCCGCTGGAGACTAGCGGAGGGATATGTCGGATGACAGAATGAGGTTGAATGCGCAGGCGCACTGTAGGCACCGTTCGGCGCTGCAGAGAGATGTGAGGTAGCTGAGAGCATTGCGCAGGCGCGGTTCGAGCGGCTGGACGCCAGTGGGCGGGGCGGGTACGCAGGCGCGGCGCGAGCAGCCAGCTGTTGGCGAAGAGGTTATCCGGGGGGCGGGGCCGGGCTGTTCGCTAAAGGCTGGCGGCGTGAGCGGTTGCGGTCCGAGCCGGAGGAAAGATGGACGAGTTCCAGTCAGGGGAGGAGGTAACGGCTCGGGCAGCGGGGCAGGGATCCCGGCGAGGAGCCTTCTAGGGCGCAGGGATCCCCTGTTCGCATTGCTGCCGCCCCTCTCCGACACACACACATGGGGGGGGGTTGCTAGGAGACTCACCATCCCCCGGGATGCTCGGGGAGTGGGGGCGAGCTGAGTGTCCGGGGGCAGGGGGACTGGGAGCCTCGCGCTGCCCCGGAATCCCCAACGGCCGGAGCGTGCCCGAGCTCCTAACGGGCTTCCCCTGCCTCCTGCATTGCCCGGGGGCGGGGGAGTAACGCCCGGTGCCCCCTCCTCAATGCTTGTGAATCCCAGGCGGGGGGAGGGGAGCGGAGTCTTTGTGTTCTCCATGTGGCAGCGCAGTGCTGGGGCTGCTGCCGTTTACTTGCAGGAGCAGGGTGCCATTTGATTAGTGAGTACCACACATCCAAGGAATAATGACAAGGAATCCTTGTGGCACCTTAGTGACGAACACATTTATTTGGGCATAAGCTTTCGTGGGCTAAAACCCACTTCCTCAACCTGTCCCCAAGGAATGATGTCTCCCAGAACTGCATATCCACGGTGGGGTTTTGATAAGATCACAAACCAGGTGAATGAAGCTTGATTAATCTAAATCTTAACATAGAATTCAAGCTTTAACTCTTCGTACATTAGTGGTCATTGAAATATCTCACTAAGCAATATTCCCACATCCTGTCCCTAGGTCTCTCTCTTGTGTTTCTGTATCTTGAGGAACCACCTATCTTTCACCCTTCTTCTATGCCCCTCTTATTGTCTTCGATCCTGAAAGTTTCTCTTTCCAAACTTTTTTGTAGGCTATGATAGAGAAATATCGTAATAGACATTTTCCTGAAGTCATTGTATGAAACTTCACTATTGCATTAAAATTAAGTGCACAAAAATGTCATATAGCCGAGAGGCTTGAGCACAAAAGCAAGAGCCAGATAAACCTCTTAATTGTGCCTCAATTTTGCAGCACACAAAGATGTTTTCTTCATATTTCACAGGCACATACCCCCAAGGCCATGCACATTCAACTTTTACCAAAATAATTCATGATAAATAAAAGCTATTTGTGTTTTACTGATTTTTTTTATTGAAGTACACAAATACTGATTATTAAGAAAACCAGTATGTTAAATTAGCTGTTTGTTAAATTAGTCTAAGTGTAAATGAAAGGCAGTCTATTAAAGCAGTTAATGTGTAAACTGGTAAAAAAAAATGTGTAAATTAAAAAAAAAGTGTCAATTTCCTGGAGCTAGCTCCCTGCTCCATAAGGAGAGATGAAGGCTTGATAACTTGGGCTGCCATCTCTCCCCCTGAAATGGGGAGCTAGGTCAGAAGTATTTACTTTGCTCTTTGTTGCATGTTTTTTTCCCCTGACCTTCCATACCCTGATATGACTTTTTCAAGCAAATTAGTACAGAGTGGAGGGAATACTCTTGTGAGAGTTCCTGATACCAGTAGGAGGAATAGCTCAGATGGATTTTGAGGGCTTAATCTAGTTTTCATCAAACTCAAAATGTATGTACTGCTTAAATGCTAATAAGATGAAGGTGAGGTAATATCTCTTATCCGACCAAGGTCTGTTGGTGAAAGAGACAAGCTTTCAAGCTACACGGAGCTGCACTTCTGGTGTGGGAAAGGTACACAGTGTCCCAGCTAAATACAAGGTGGAATAGATTTAGTGTACGTAGTTAACACATTTTTTTTAAGGGACCGTTCAAGGTGAAGTGGCCTATTAATACATCTGCAGTCATAGGATGAAAAAGGAGGGTTAGTGGGTCACAGATTGTTGTAATAAGCCATAAATCCTGTGTCTTTGCTAGACACTAAAAATCATGATCTTGATAAAAGTTATGAATTTAATCTCCCAGGCTTGTCTTTTGAAGGTGTTATGCAGGTTTCCTTTGAGGAAGAGGCCTGAAAGGTCTGATATGGTGTGACAGCTTTGTGAAAAGTGTGTGCCCATGGGTGATAGTGGCTTTTTCCTCATCATTTGTGTTTGAGTTCATTTGAGAGTGTTGTGATTGCCTGGTTTCACCCATATTGTTGGGGCATTTAGTGCCCTGGATGAGGTACATCACATGTTGTGATAGGCATGGGTAGAATCCCTTGATCTTGAAAGGTGTGTTGGCTCATTACAACAATCTGCAACCCACTTTTTTCCATCCTATGGCTGCTCAGGTGTTAATAGGCCACTTCATTTGGAATTGTCCCTTAGAATGTGTTATCTAATTATGCTAAACAATCTATTCCATCTTGCATTTAGCTGTGACACTGTGTTCCTTTCCCAGACTAGGAGAAGGACTCTTGTCTCTTTCACCAATAGAAGTTGAGGCCTGTCTTTTACTGGACCAACTTTTCTCTTTATGGTTATGGGCAGCCTGTAATTACCAGTATTAGTGCCAGTAGGTAAAAATGAACAAATGGAATTGTCATACACATTAAGTTTACTGTGTTATAACTTGTGACTACCATACTTGAATCACCAAACAATCATTGAACACATTAGCAGTGTCCAAGAGACCACCAGTTTAGTAAACTGTTTGTATTTGTTACCAAGACTTTTTTTTAAAGTACTGATTCTGTGAAGATTAGTACACTCAGGTTGTCATTGTCTTCCCCTTTACCATTTCAAATGGGAGAAACATATAATTTTATAAGCCTCCGATGTCAGGAAATGTGACTTTGACATAATGGTCATGTTTGTGTAAATATTCTAGCACCTTTTTCTTTTTTCAAATGCACAAGGAAGTCCAGTATGAAAGAGTTAATGAAAAGACTGAGAATCTAAATGCACAAGTCAAGAAGGTCAAAATTATGGATTCTACAGCAGAAGTAACTTAGTGACATTACACATACACAAAAGTGTAAATTTAGTACCGTTTTCTGTTGGACACCACATTGTTAGCAGAATCCGTCAATCAGAGCTTGCTTTCTCTTTTTTAATGAAGATTACATTGCCACTATTCCCCCTTTTCTTCCTCCCCTCCTCCTCCAAGTTTTTATTAATTCCTCAGAACAGAGGAACTGATCCCTTTTACTTCATTCATAAAACATAATCTCACATCAAGGGTTGACTACAGGCTCTTTGGTCTCTAAAGATATTTTGCAAGGGTTAGGTGGAATAAACACTTAATACTGTAACATGTAAGGAATAAAGACACTTAAAATAGAACTGTATCAAGGAGAAACACGTACAGTTATACTTGCATATATATACACACACACACACATTATTGCCAGTTTGACCGTGTCACTTTCCTTCTCTGCGCCCACTCAGCAAGCTTGATCCTGATGTTCTTTCTCAGGCAAAACTTCAATTTTACCAAGCTCAATCATTTTACTATTATCCTTAGGGCTTGGCTACACTTGCGAGTTAGAGCGCATTAAAGGAGCCCCAGGCGCCTTAGCTCACTTCCCGTCCACACTGGCAAGGCATGTAGAGTGCTCTGACTCCACGGCCAGAGCGCTCCTGGTACTCCACCTCGGTGAGAGATTAACGCTTGGTGCGCCTTGGCTGAAATGCCCAGGCGTCGGTGTGAACGAGGTGTTGCATTACTGCGCTCTGATCGGCCTCCAGAAACATCCCATAATCCCCTTAAGTCAAGTGGCCACTCTTGTCATTGTTTTGGAATCTCTGCGGGAATGCAGATATGCCCTTTGAAAGCTCCGTTTCTGACAGCCAGCATGCTTATCAGCTCTAGGACAAAGCAAACAGCTACTGTGGAATGCTGTGTGAGGGAGAGGCGGCGGCGGGGGGTGGGGGGGTCTGCTGCTGTCTGAACTTGCAAGACAGCATGCTGACATGCTCTCAGCCCCCCAAAAACTACTCTCTCTCTCCCCCACATACACCCAACACCGTCTCTGTCACACTCCACCCCCACCCCCCATTTGAAAAGCACGTAGCAGCCACTTGCATGCTGGGATAGCTACCACAATGCACTACTTTCAGCTGTCAGTGTGGAGAGATTGCAGCGCTTTCCCTACTGCGCTTTACGAAGGCTGGTTTAACTCAAAGCGCTCTACATCTGCAAGGGTAACCATGCCCTAAGTAACAGAGGGTCCTGTGGCACCTTTGAGACTAACAGAAGTACTGGGAGCATAAGCTTTCGTGGGTAAGAACCTCACTTCTTCAGATGCAAGTAATAGAAATCTCCAGAGGCAGGTATAAATCAGTGTGGAGATAACGAGGTTAGTTCAATCAGGGAGGGTGAGGTGCTCTGCTAACCGTTGAGGTGTGAACACCAAGGAGGAGAAACTGTTTCTGTAGTTGGATAGCCATTCACAGTCTTTGTTTAATCCTGATGTGATGGTGTCAAATTTGCAAATGAACTGGAGCTCAGCAGTTTCTCTTTGGAGTCTGGTCCTGAAGTTTTTTTGCTGTGAGATGGCTACCTTAACATCTGCTATTGTGTGGCCAGGGAGGTTGAAGTGTTCTCCTACAGGTTTTTGTATATTGCCACCTGCCTCTGGAGATTTCCATTACTTGCATCTAAAGAAGTGAGATTCTTACCCACGAAAGCTTATGCTCCCAGTACTTCTGTTAGTCTCAAAGGTGCCACAGGAACCTCTGTTGCTTTTTACAGATTCAGACTAACACGGCTACCTCTCTGATACATGCCTGAAGTATCTTCATTCCAATTTTTCTGTTTTCTCCATCAGTAGTCACATCAGATTGTAAACTCCGTCAGATTGTAAGACGTTTGGAGCAGAGGTTATTTCATGTGTATACAGAGTCTAGCATTACTTGTGCCCTGATAGGAGCCTCGATGCTACCACAATATAAACAACCTGGACGTGTTTAAAAAGCTGTGGGGAGCCAAGAGACCGCTACCTACGTGGAAGAGAACTTCAACAGAATAGTAAAAGTGGAGTGGGAATGGACATGTCCCCTTCTCCCTAAGGTTGCATCTGGGCTGTCTGCTTTTAATCTTTGTGACTAATAATTATTATTGATTATAATCAAGACTTTCAACAAGCCAGGAAAGTGAGTTATGACTTCTTGGGCAACAATAACTCAGTCCTTGAGTACATACATACCCAAATCTAAGACTACAATTCTTGCATTGTATAGGCATAGTTAATAGAGTCCTGATTTTATAGGGACAGTCCTGATATTTGGAGCTTTGTCTTATATAGGCGCCTGTTACCCCCCACCACCACCACCACCACCCCCGCAACTCTGATCCCGATTTTTCACACTTCTTATTAGGGTGACCAGACAGCATCATGCCACTGTCCTCTAAAAAAGAACAGCTCTGCTCAAAATAGAGCTAATATGCTGAATTTTATTGTAAAATGAAATAGGTCAGCTAAAGTCTTACTTAATTCCATGCTAATCCAAATGATTGCTAATAAAATATTTCTTAGTAATGTAGGCAAAGTACTGATTTAATCCAGTGAGGTGCCTAATTAAACATAAACAAGGAAGATTAGGTGCCTCTTGATTTAAGTCTGACAGACTATCAGTCTAAATTATCCTAAAAAATGTACTCTTAACTAGCTAAATTTCCACTAGTGAAACTTGTACTCGCAACTAGAAACTGGCTCCGAAACATTTAAAAGTATTCATTCATTTAAAATTCTCTCTCTGAATTTTTCTGTAGACTTCTTTTGTTGTTGATGAAGTGAGTAACATCATTAAAGAGGTAAGAAGTTACCAAATGTCTTCACGTTGTCATGTGGAAATGTAACCTTGTATGCTCTATATTTGTGTTGTACTATTTGCTCTCAATAGATTTTGTGTACAAAAAAACCTATATCTTCCAACCAATACATTGCTTAGTATTAGAAATAGATATTACATAGGTTATCATTCAGTTTTCTATTAAGACTGATACCAGTTAATAGTTGTCTTTTTAAATCTATTTAAGTATTGTTATGAACTTAAAATATATCTGATATTTAGAGTATGTTCCTCATCTACTGTGAAGCTTTCTTCATAGTAATTCCTAAACAATGGAGATTATATGAATAAGGTGAAATTTATGCAGAGGGGCCTAAGTTCCATTTAAAACTCAGCGTGAAGAGCTTTGCACAGCCCCTCTGCACAAACATAAATTTCACTTATAAATGTCTCACACGTCAGGATTTTTTCCTCAAAGATAATGCATGAGCTACATATTTGATGTAGACACTTTAAAGTGTATTTGAGATAAATGCCCTGTAGTTGCAAGTTTCTTAGC